GTCTGAAATATAAGTTGCCTCCACCCTCACCCTCGTCTATTCTTATCCCATCACAATCAATCCATCAACATCATCATCATCACAAGAAAGAAAATAAGTGACAGCACACAATGACCAGCGAACGCAGACCCTCTGGCGCATACCACCTTACCGGCGCAGACATCGTCGAAAGAGTCGATGACCTCAGCTCCGGAGGCGGATGGGAAGAACTGAACCGCCGGGCTCATCACGCTGATACGGGTCAATCACAGCAGCCGCAGCAGCAGTCGAGTACTCAACCTAAGCAAGCTCCGGACAGGTCGCAGTCGTTTAGGCCGTATAATCCTAACCAGGGTGGGTTTCCTTTCCATTCCCCCTATATGGTTGATTCAGCCATGGTATATATAAGAGAAATGGAAGCTGATATTAGTGATAGGAACCGAGCAAAGCGACGACCTGCTGCCGGATGAGTAGTGGTGGGCGTACTAATTTGTCCGCGGTGATGATATCAGCTGTGGTGGGGGTGTATTGTTGTTTGTATCCGGGTTGGATGTATACGAGGGACTTGGTGAAGTGGGTTACTTGTTGTAAAATTTGATACAGATATTAGTACTACGGTGGAGGGATGTATATGTGGAGATTACATTTATGATATGAAATAATGACTCTCGTTTAATATTTTGATGCGATGGTTACTACTTATGGTATCGGTAGTTCTTATTGTGCTATGTCTTTTCGTTCTTCAACGATTAGTCAGTGTGGCCGAGTGGTTAAGGCGATAGACTAGAAATCTATTGGGTTCGCCCGCACAGGTTCGAGTCCTGTCGCTGACGTTTCTTTTTGGTTTTTTTTATTTGGTGTATCTGGGTACGGAACCCTCCCTTTCTGTTCAATTTTTATCTTCTGAAAGAATATTTTGGTTATTAGTAACATTCTACATCATGTCTAAATCTATCTTAAAAGTATTTTGAACGGTTTCATTGAAGAAATGCTTCATGCATGGGTTCTTCTTTGCTCTGCGGGAGAGCCACCAAAGATATATATAATCCCCGACTACATCTCCCTCAACTCGCATCACTCCCCCCAGCATCCCTCTGCTTCACCCTTTCCGACTCAAACGCAAGCCCTGCACGCTCTCTCAATACCCCATACATTGACGACGAATCCAGCGCACGTCCATTATCCTCCCCATACCCCCGCGCCGCGCGGAGATGATCCAAAACAACCCGCGCAATCGGCAATTCCGTTCCCGCGCCCTCGGCACAACTCACCCCCAACGAGACATCTTTGATGGCCAAATTCACATCCGACCACGGTCGCTGACCCCGTTCAGGCAGATAAAATCCTCCCGTCATCCTCTTCGACATGGAGGTCAGCAGTGGACCATATTGCTCTTCAAGCAACCCCTCGAGAACATCGTTCCCGAGACCGGACTTTTCCGCCAATACCTGTGCTTCTGCGACAAGCTCCATCATGCCGCCGATGAGGAAGTTGCTAATGATCTAGTTAGATATACCCTCGAATGAATAGATAGCTAGGATGTGTTTAAACTCACCCCGTACACTTCAACAACGTAGACCTCGTAACATCACTCCCCAACCTCATCATCTTCCGCCCCATAACACCCACAATATACGGCTCCACTCGCTGCACGGCCTCTTCCGCACCCGCGACCACAAACAATAGCTTGCCTTCTTGCGCGGTAGGCGTGGCTCCGAACACCGGTGATGCGACATAGCTTACTTCGCACTCAGTGAGACGTTGTTGTGCCCAGGCAGACGTATCCGGATGGACGGTCGTTGTGTCGACGATGAGTTTCTGGCGTAGGTGGTCTGGGTCTAGTGTTGTTATGGTATCAATGATGGATCGAACAGCAGTGTCATCGGTCACAGCGACGAAGCAGATATCGACGTTGGTGATGAGCTCGGGGATGCTGGCGTGCTGTACGCCCCCGATTGCTTGAACGGGCTGTCCACGAGCCTCGGTTCGGTTGTAGAATTGGAGGGATGGGGCGTTGATGCGCGATAGATGGGCTTGGAGGTTCAGGGCCATGGCTTGGCCCATTGAGCCGAGACCTGGAGAATTTAGTCTCTTTGTATACAGGATGGACTATGGTGAGTGTGGGAATGTGTTGGGTGCTTACCGATCCATCCGAATCGGGGGTGGGTGTTGGTTGGAGTGTTCATGGTGGAGGATAGATTGGTTTAAACGCTGAAGGGGAGGAATGAGGAATGGAGATTGGGTGGGAGACGTCGTATATTTGAGCTGCCCGATAGATTCCGTCTACGTCAGATCTGGTCTGTTGGCTGCAGCTCCTGTTATCGGCTGTCATGAGTCATTTGAATCGGCCTAGAGCATCGCTCTGAACATCAGAGCTGACGGGCTTTGAGCCAAGAATAGGCGTGTCATTCGCCCGAAGGGCGGGGATCCACCAGATTGCGGGGTGATCTCCAAGATCTTGTGCAGTGACTTTCAATAGCACGACGCAACATGCTTGCATTTGAATAGTGTTTGGAATGATGCTTCATAGCTAAACGAGACGTCTGTCGCTGACACAGTTGAGTGGTGGGATAGAGGCCTGTTTGCAACCCAGAACGCAATGTTGGATTGAGCGACAAAATGCAAATCTCGATAAACCTCCGTCCAGCATGGGGTTTAATAAGTGTCCACCATCAAGCTTATCTTTATGCAAGGGATAAAGCCCATAGCGTATGAGAAAGCAAGTCAACCCGGCTTCATCACTTCGCCTCATCTGCAGACCGCCACACTCTGTAGTAGACGTCCATACAAAGTTCTCGATCTCAAAGAGATCAAAGCCCGATCAGCAACGATGGACCAATAACACAGCTACCTTGACTATCATGTGAAGTCGGAGATGCATGCCTAGCACCGACTACCAGGTGTAGGGTTAGATGATGCTCATACGTTAAGCTTTCCACGTCAGCGTTCAGCTCTCGCCTCTTGCCAAGGAGCCGCTTCTATGCGAGATGAGATCGTATCTATGTACTGTAGGCAATTTTCGCTTCCGCCATGTAAGTCTCGCTGTTGGGCATCTTTACTGATTTCAAAGATCCACATAATAATTTTGCAACAAGGATAGCAGGAAAGGAGAAATGGTTGTGTTGACAAAGCATTTGCTGACACTGAGTTCATATCCAATAGAACTATCTCTTACTGGCGAGCGGAGCGCATCTTTGAATTTACGTCCATATCCGAGAAAAGGTTGCGCAATACGCTCACTTGTAGGAGTCATTTGAGAGCTAACCAGCACGCCCGTTCCCTTTGCGACCGTACATCCACTTTTTTTCACACCACTTTTCCTTGGAGCAAATCCTACGCAGCAGTATTCTAACCTAGCATATCACCCCTAACCATCCAATCCTCCTTGACTACCTCCAACGATAATAACCTAGGAAGTACACATCCCATTAATACACTGCAACCCGCCATCAGCCGGCACAGGACAGTCCCTAAACCTAGTCCAGAACATCTCCGTCTCGCCGCCCTGATCATCCACCATCGGAGCCACGGTGACCTGACATTCCAACTGAAACCAACGATTAGCATGACGAATTAGAGTTCAGAGATATCCCACGTACCTGGTGTCCGCCGTTGCACTCGCATGCTTTAGCACCATAGCGGATGCAGAATGTGCCAGGAATTTCACAGCCCTGGGTCTGGGTCACGAAAAGGCCGAAGGCGAAGAGGACGAGGATGGATTTCATGATGAATGATCTCTTGGATGAGAGAGGAGCTGAAGAATGACTAATGCGATGTAAGTGAGAAGGAAATGGGCGTCTGTGATGATTGTGTGATTGCGCTTGATAGTTGCGAAGTGGCGTCTATCTTTCCGAAAATCACCACGCCGGAAAGGTAACACCAAGTCTGAGATTCGGGATAAGAATAATATAATACTGCTTCTTTGAGGAGATTTCAATAGAAAATGCATTCTCTACGAGAAGTTTCACTGCATGGGTTCTACCCACACTGTGTGTTTGGTATACTCCCTGCTGGGTGAATGCTCTACTCTTCACTCCGAGGGGAACTTTAACCAGCTCAATCAAGAGTGGTCTTGTCAGAGACACAGGAATATCCTCATGGTTAAGCTTTACGACGAGTAAATGTCATATTGGTAGTACCAGCCTTCGGACACAACCTCCACCACACGCCACAGCTGTGCCTCCCCTGGTTCGTTCTAGCCCGCCCGCGAAAACAAAGTTCTCGCCACTGACCACTTTCCAAGGTCGAGTTCACCATGACAGCTCTGCTCGAACATAATGGCGTAGTGTCAGACCCACAAATTCTTGGAGAGGTACGATGGTATCGCGTAAATATTGGTTCGTGGTCTATTTTCCGTGGATAAAGTAGTACACCAATGCGGGAATGAGAAGCGAAAGGAGTTTCCTCGGTCGCAGACGGAAAGAAATGACAAAAATGCAGTACATCATTGATAATCAAGGCTTGAATAGCGGGATAGTTAATTGTGCAAGCGGATATTGAATGTTTACGATTTGTCAATAGCATCATATTTCCATTCATCTCGGTCGTTCGAGTTATCTGAATCCCGGCTGACTATACTAGAACTGTCTTTCTCCTTTGATCTCACTCTAATAGCTACTGATGTTGAATTGCTTCGATGCCCTTCTTGATTTGTTTGGCTAAATAATTCGGAAGGAAATACATTAAGTTGATCATAGATGTCAGAGATATCCGAGATGAAAGGAATAACGAAAACATTGAATAAGAATTATTGTTAATGTCAGAAATATCAGAGATGAAAATCAAGGCAATGAAGGGATGAACAGGAAGAAAAACTTCAGAATGTGTACGAAGTAAATAACAATGCAGCCGAAGCGAGAATGCAAGAGGGCAAGGGCAAAGGTATGTAAAGAAAAGTCTGTCGGGCTTTGGTCCGGCTTGATTTACCATCTCAGAAGAGGAAATTTGATCACTTCATGTCTTCAAGCATGTCGAAGTCGTTCAATGGCCCGTCCGACCTGGTATAACTGATGGGCATGTTTGGATAACTGCCAGGCTCATAGCTAAGGCTACTGGTCATGTCTTGAGAGAATGCTAATGGGTCATTTGCAGCGATTGCATTGAAATCGGGATTGTAGCCCGAATACACCATGCCTGATGAGAAGGGTGGGCAGAGGTCAGTGTCCCATAGATCTCCCGAAGATATGTTCTCTCCCGAAGGCAATTCAGGCAGCTCATTGGAGGTATTCCCGGGCACATAACTACTAGGTACGTCGTGTGGAAAATAATCCATCATATGGGGATCATTGTCAAAAGAATAGACACCAGAGGGCTGTTTGGAAGATACAACAACGGATGTATTTACACCAGTGGTGTCGTTGGCCGTGTCCAGAGATTTGGAGGGTGCATTGTCAGCCTCAGTAGCGGAAGGACGACGATACTTGAGTGTCACAACTTTACGCTGTGGTTGTCCCACGTCATTGGGGTATTCGAGGAATTTTGCACCGGGAACCAAAAGCTCATCGGAACTGGCCACGCTGCTGCACTTGTCCTCGTCATCACTTTCACTCTTTTCAACTTCTGAAGAGCTCTCCTCAGCTTTGACTGCCGACTTTCTTCTTTTCTGCAGTCTTCGTGATCTTGAAGCCCTTCCTTGGACCCATTCTTCGTCCGAGGACGTATCCTGGTATCGAGGTCTAGCCCGGGACCCGGAGAAATTGTTCTTACTTGAGCTGGCTCTAGTGTTTGGTGCCTCGTCTGCGACGCTCTTTGTGGGCGTTTCTTCAGAAGACTTAGACATCCCAGTAGCACCACGCCGAAGAGGAGGGGGAACGGCCTTGTCTGCAGAGACTCGACGACTGCGGAGCTTTGCAAGGTGCTGTACGATTGCGCCCTCCGTCACATTATGACCCATGGTATTAGCGACCTCGGCCCAAGGAATCTTGATCGACTTTGTATTGCAAACGGACTGAACAGTCAACAGAAGGAGCTCGTTCAGATTTTCTATACTTGTTAGCCTCGGTCGGACGAGCTTTTCTACAAGATGGGATTGTTGAAGCCGAGATAGGGACATACCGTCCCAGCGGACCAGAGTCCGTTTCTTCGGCCTATTCGAAGCCTTCCTCGGGGTTGCCATAACTCCATGCAAGGAAGAATCCTTTTGTGAATTGTATCTTAGATTAAATAATCTTAGTCAGTTCTATTACGGGTTCGAGAGTGGGCTGGTAGTCCTGCAACGCGTGGCCTGTACAAAGAATTTCGGTAAGTACGCGTCTAGTGAGATGAGGATAAAGTGAAGCTTTCATTCTACTTACTTTGAATTGAAATAAGTTGCTGGTCCGGGACAGATAGTAGACAGCCTATCAGGCAGCCTCGTGCATTGCTACTCACTATAGTGAGCCTTCTTTGACTATCGCTGGGTCCGAATCGGTCTACTGCAAGAGAGAGGGAATACCAAAGTGAGAGGAAAGAGACGCGTAGTTGTAGACAATGAGCAGTGAGGCCGCGTGAATAGTACTTTCTTGAAGCAGGTGAGCCAATCAGCGCGCTTTAGTGTCGGTGGTGAGGTTAAGCGAGGGGATCATATTGGGTCAGTAATCAAACGTGTCAAACATATTGTGCTGCCTGCATAGAAGCTCATGTGCTTTATTGCCTAGACTGTGCATGATAGAATTATACACTCAGGTTTCTGAGGTTGTAGCATCATTCTCCTAATACGGAAAGGACATACTATCGTTGTGCGGAAAGGACCAACAGTTCCGGTATACTGTACACAAGCAGGACTACTTCGTCCGTTTGAGCTAGCAGTCTATCAAGCAGACAGAGTACTAACTGCAGCTTTTGGTAGGACCCAAACATGTGTATTCTATGTGTTCATGTACCTGCCATACCACGCCCATAGTCGAGCTATGGATATGTTCTACGCTCTTCCAAGTTGCTTCCGCCCCTTTTAGTGATTTGGAAGTCTAACACTAACAGAACACTTCTGTCTGCAGACCACCATTCGAATAATGTGAGTACTAGAAAAGCATACTTTATTGATGCTTGCTAGAAATGATTTCGATGCAAGCTGCAAGAAACAGTGGGATATGCCTATAGTATCCTTCGTACCTTCTGCTAACCTCATAATACTGCTAACTTCAAAGCTAATTGCATCAATTCTAGCAACCAGTATCACCCTTCACCGTCCACAACACCATCCCAACCT